CCATTACTACACGCTCAGTTCGGCAACACCCATACTCTACGCGCCAGTAGACAGCCAATACTATACGCCCAGTATGCCACCCCCTACTCTACGCCGCAATACTCTACGCTCCAATACGGCAGACAACACTTTATGCTCAGCACATCACATCCATACTGTACGCGACAATACGACAGCCAATGTTATACGCTCAATACCCCCACACTGTACGTTCAAATACTGTACGCTCCAATAGGTCTGCCTATACTGTACGCTGAAAGCAACACCCTTATACTGTACGCTATGTACGACATGCCAATACTGTACGCTCAATACGACACCTCGACACTACACTCCTCCATACAAACCCCTATGCCGTACGTTCGAGTTAAAGCGTCCGCTCGTCACGCTGAAGACCCGGGTTCGATTCCCAACATGGGTACAATGAGTGAAGCCAATTTCTGGTGTCCCCCGCCGTGACATTGCTGGAATATTGCTAAAAGCGGCGTAAAACGCAACTCACTCACTCACTCACTATCACACGAGCCTTTAAGAGACCCTATATTGTCAGTTCCAATACGACCCCGACCCTCTGTATTGAGCTCGGGCTACACAATATTTCAAGTTGTGAATTTCAGGAATGTGAGTGACGATTTCACTGACGGCTTATGTTTATCCAACACTTGCTTTCTGATAAGGCAGCTGTTAACTTCGACTCAAGAAATCATCATGTGCCACGTAGGTATACGTTTAATGTCTCTGCCAATATTGTCTCCGTATATTTGCCAAAGTGATATATCAGTAGTGTACACATGCTCAAGAGATGCTGTCGTGTGTGACTATCCAACGTGACCGCAGTGACCGCTTTATGTGTTACATCCATAACCTTTCTGTTACTTATTGATCCTCTAGGTTTCTTACAATGGTAAGTCGGAGGTTTGGAAGAGACATCAATTTGCTGTGTAGAATTACGCCCCTTCGATTGTTTGGATCCGCTTTGAAAAGATCGCGATAGCTATCATAGACTATGAATGGTGCCATGATTGGGACAAATGCTTCATCTCTGTTGCGTTGTCCAGTGAGATTATCAACCCCAGGATTAGCTCTGTAGAAGCTGCAATGCATTCCCAGAATTTAGGAAATCTTCATCAAATCAATTATGCACGCTCAATGCGCCGTCTGAATATATAAGATAAAAACCAAGGAATAACTAATCTCGGTCATCCGACGAATCAGATTCTATCTGGCTTAAGACCCGTGAAGATGAGGGTTAGAATTGGTCTTCAACAACCAATTGCAATGCTTCTGAAAAGAGGCGATTATCGGGATCGGGTTGTCATACTTGCTGACTTGGTTGACACATGTCATCGTATCCCAATTGCGTAGATTGAAGCACACAAAGCCGTGATGACTCTGTGTTTCCACGGGATTGATCAACTCGCCAATACACAATCTACACAAGAAAACACGTGTTTGTTGCATGACACCCAGCTACAGTAGACTTATATGCCACTGATATTCAATCCTAGGCCAACAAGCCTGTGGTGGACGATGTGTTGGCAGTGTGCGAAACAGTTTCCAAATTTTGCTAGTCAGTCGGACTAGCTATGCCTGAATGTTATTAGCCCACAAAATAATTCACTAGCCCGAAATTTGAATGTGAAAAGTAAGCAAAAGATTACAAAAATAGATGAGAATAAGATATTGACGGCATGACACTGTTTTCATCATTAAGTTGATAATGTGATGAACATTTTTATCAGGTCATAATCTTGCATGATTTGATAGTGTATTATAACTTAACAAGTCGGAGAGAGTGATATATTTACAAAATGACCCCATGAAAATTCACTAGCCAGTCGGGCCAGTGACTGTGGAGATTTACTGGCCCGACTGGATTTGTACTAGCCACGGGCTAGCGGGCCAGTGGCCATTTCGCACACTGTGTGCTGGACGTCGACAACGGTGACCAGCAAACCGCGATTTGCCTTTTATGATTGTCATGCTAATGCAACATTCTTGAAGAAGAAGAAGAAGAAAAGACTGTGTTGGAAAGAGAACATTTTAACAAAGTACTTATACCGCCTCTTTTGTGACCTGGGGCTGGCCACGACTTTGAGACCACGCAGGTTTCAGTGGTATGCTACCAATGGACCAGTGTCTCTCTACACCACTGTACGTGACACCCTTCTGGACCAGCCCATTTACTGTAGGGGCGGTGGGGTAGCCTAGTGGTTAAAGTGTTCGCTCGTCACGCCGAAGACCCGGGTTCCATTCCCCATATGGGTACAATGTGTGAAGCCCATTTCTGTGCAGCCCCCCCTCGTGATATTGCTGGAATATTGCTAAAAGCGGTGTAAAAATAAAACTCTCTCACTCACTCATTTACTGTGATTGTAAGTCCATACTCTCAGTCGCCGGTACATGCAAGGACAACCAGTTGTGTTGAGGTGTGTCATTTTTGTGACCATGAACACATCTTATATTTCTGACCCGTGAAGATACGGGTTTGAATTGGTCTTCAGTAACCCATGTTTGTCGTAACAGGCGACTAATGGGATCGGGTGGTCAGACTCGCTGACTTGGTTGACACATGTCATCGTATCCCAATTGCGTAGATCGACGCTCATGCTGTTGATCACTTGATTGTCTGGTCCAGACTCGAGTATTTACAGACCGCCACCATATAGCTGGAATATTGCTGAGTGCGGCGTAAAACAACAAACAATCAATCAATTCGTATATTTCTTACACTGATAGTGAACGCATACATTGCTTCCATTAAATCATATTAATGAAATCAAAATATTTATCAGAATCCGAGGTCGGTAAATATATATTTCGAAATAAATTTCTGAGTTTGAAAGATATCAAGGTCGGCGTTAGATCACTGAATTGCGAGCCTTCAAGTTCAACTACCGGGTTTGGACGCTTTTAAATTTACTGATTTTTCAGTTATGGGAAATGCGCCTGGAACATATTATACCATCGTTATCGAATGTTGATCCCTGAAGATCTGGTTTAGAATTTGTCTTTAGCTACCCATTCTTGTCGGGATAGGGTGGTCTGGCTCGCTGACTTGGTTGACACATGGCATTGTATCCCAAATGCGAGGATCGATGTTCATGCTATTGATCACGTGATGGTCCGGTGACTCGATTATTTACAAACCGCCGCCATATAGCTGGAATATTGCTGAGTGCGGCGTTAAACAACAAGCAAACAAGCGAATGTTGAGATTGTATTATGTTCTTCGGAAATACAGGGGCGGTGGTGTAGCCTGGTGGTTAAAGCGTTCGTTCGTCACGCCGAAGACCCGGGTTCGAATCCCCACATGGGCACAATGTGTGAAGCCCATTTCTGGTGTCCCCCGCCGTGATATTGCTGGAATATTGCTAAAAGCGGCGTAAAACCATACTCACTCACTCACTCTTAGGAAATACCGAATACAGCCTGCCTTGACTCTATGGTACGATGGAAAATGATTTATAGGCCGCTTCTAAATGTTTGTGAGCGTAAATATTTTCAGAATTTGAAACAATATCCAAGGACATATAAATGTGAACAGCATTCCTGAAACTTCAACCTTTGGTATGTTTGTGTCTCTCTCATTACGACATCTTTAAAGGCCGGTTATACGTGAGAAGCCAACTACACAAGCCGCGATAGCCGAACAGTTATCGCACGCAGGTTAATACGGTCCGGTACTGTGAAATGTATTGCAGACACTATGGATACTCCTCTACTCACTACACATGTATAAGTGAAACCCCTTTAGTGTGGATACTTATTCATGATCCGGGCGTTTATGTCTGGGAACGTCTATAATATAAAACGTTTATAGCTTCTTTACATAATTTGTTAATCCAGATTTTAAAACTAAATTTATCTGAGATTACCTGAGATGCAACAGTTGCTCTATACCACACATAGCTGTAAAAGGGAATTTGAATGATATATTGATTCAACATTTATTTTGTTGGGAAGACTATTTTCAATTTCTCTGATATTTCATCTGAAGGTTCACGAAGCACCCATAAAATCTGACGTTATAAATCGACTTGCTGTGTTGAGACGATTGAGTGAGTGAGTATGGTTTTACGCCGCTTTTAGGAATATTCCACAATACCACTGCGGGGGCCTGCAGAAATGGGCTTCACATATTGTGCTCATGTGGGGAATTGAACCCGGGTCTTCAGCAGTGTTCAATTAATATAATTTGTACTGAAAATTTGCCTTAAAACCCGATGTAATCCGGTACGTTTATTAAACGACAATTGAAACTCTCGTGAAAATGGATGAAAATGAACTTTGCATCCACCCTACCCCCTCTCAAAAAGCTGTATCCGCCCGTTGGTATAATATGTTCATGTGTAACACCAAACATACCTAGGCGACCCTAAAATGACGACACCGAGGATATGTCTTACATGCATGTATTATAGATCCATTGCAATATTGTTTACTCATGAATAAACATTCCGAAAAACAGAAGAACCTCGCAATCACTGTGATCATTGTGCTGATATATTATCTTCATCTGCTGTGATTGGACACCTATGAAAACAGCACCTGAGGACCGCACTCGTCACCCAGCATATGTTGTTGACATAAATGAAACTAAACACTTTTATACACAATACCCTCCACTCCCAGATCTCGCAACACGCACCAGAAAACGTTACATTGTTTACCCAACGATATCGCAGTTCAGACGTTTTTATCAAAACGTTTAAATTGTGAAAATAAACCCATTTGACATGCTCTTCTGTCACTATATAAACACCATGCACGTGGTGAGGCCACACCTCAGGTGTTCATAACAGTAACACTTTTGTCTACTACCTCGGTCAGCGAGGCACTCGAATGTCCTTGGGTCCACAAGAGACGACTGCATACTGAAGACGTATTTGATAAGTACAATACTTTCTGCAAATAATAAAAGTAATACATGCAAATCCCACGTGGTGTCGCCCATAACACGTGCCAAAAATCACAAAGAATTCTCACAATTCAATCAGGGCTGTTCTGTTACATTTATAAAATTTACTGGTGTTTCAGCAGCTATAAGTTCACTGTAGGGAAACTCATCTTCTCTCACAGACACTCAAGGTGGGATGTGCCATTTAATAGGATAATATTTATTCAATATCAAGAACATATGTAGTGCATATCTATATAAACATAATTTGTCATTAGACAATTATGAAGCCCACAACAGACTTTCTGAAATTTTGTATGTTTTATATTTTCATCAGTCACTTCATGTTCAAGTGAGCAGTTATAAAACTGACATACGTTTTGACATGTTCTAAATACCGTGTATTAACTTTTCGAACGGTATAATAGCACATGGAACATAGTGATGGCAAGTAAAAGGTGTGATAGTTACTTTAAAGTAACACTATATATTCAATATTATGAACACATATATGCCTCCACGATCGATTCATGAACATGAACATGAACATGAACATGAACATGAACGCTTTTGATTCATGAACGATAACATGACTTTCTCTTGGCTAGAACTGGCACATCTTTAAGAAGTCGGAGATCATGATACGACGACTGTCACTGTCAAAGACTATTCAGTATTTTCTAGTTTGTCAATAGACTGTGACTCGGTGTCGTCGCTGATGACGGAAGAGGCGAGGGAGATGGCGGAGTGGAGGCGTTGCCTCATCGTGTCTACGAATACCAACTTATCCGGAAGTCTTTCTGGAAGCTTGTATTCAAAATCAGAACCCGCAAAGAAGGACGGTTCTGGTTTCTGGCTAGCCCTCGGCAATAATGGAGGACCGAAGTATGTCTTATATGATGGCTCCTTATACATTGTGACTTTTCGTGGACTCACGAAAACAGGGAACAAGGAATCGACAGCGGAATCTCGCCTTGTATCGTTTTTCTTACCGGCGTGGGATTTTGACAAGTTAGTGAATCCTAACTCACGCGGGACCTTTCCTGACAAAATTTTGTAATTAAGGTCGTGGATGTTATGGAAGTACATCGGTGTGCTTGGCGTTCCCCGCTTCAGCTTGTTTTTCAGTCTGGCTATCGTGAAAGCAGTTTTTTCGTTTTGTTTGAGTTTCTCTCTCCGCGTTGCATCATCAGTTTCGACAGGGTTGTTGTTAGCGGCGGTGTGACACTGCAAAGCCTTGGGGAGGTGGGACCGTGCTATTTCACCACGGGCTATTTTTGTATGGATATCAGCATTACTCATCCCGGGGTACAGACGCTTCACCAGAGTAGATGTGGTAATATTCTGCTGAGTCACCCTCAGACTTGGAAACGAGGCATCTGCATGATCCCTACTCTTGGCACGTGACTTGGACTTCCGGCACTCGTGACAAGCGCTCGGTCCCATGACTTCGCAGGAGTGAGAAGATCTCACCTCGTCCAGGTTTTCATCGTCCGGATCCGGAGTGTTCGGCTTCAGCGTAGAATGGGCTGAACTCATTCTGCTTCTCCGGTCCATCTGGGGATCTAACGAGGTGGTGAGACTGTGATGCTTGTGCAGGATGCGGCTAGCACTGGAGTGTGGCCTTGACAGACCGTCGTCGCGGCGCACATCCTTCTGGGCAAGTTCTAGAACATGGCGGCGGTTCCGGTAGGATGACCTTGCCCTTTCTTTCTCTGCTAGAAGGTAAATATCGTCCACACTGAGGGTTTTAATGTCACTGGGGGTGGAGGTGTTCCTCTTATAGGACACAGACATGGTAGGCTGGCCGACACATCTTGTCATCTGAAAATGTAAAGGCAAAACTGTAGTAAGATTTTAATCATATATCACAAAACATGGAGGGGTAGATATGTTCAGGTGAGTGAGTGAGTGCGGCTTTACTCCGCTTTTAGCAAAATTCCAGCAATATCACTGCGGGGAACACCAGAAATGGACTTCACACATTGTACCCATGTGAAGGAATCGTACCCGGGTCTTCGGTGTGACGAGCGGACGCTTTAGCCACGAGGCTACCACCACAGCCCCTATGTTCAGGATTGGTGAGGTGAGGTGAGGTGAGGTGAGGTGAGAGGTGAGATGAGTTGATTTGAGATGAGGTGAGGTGAGAGGAGATGGACTTTAACATAGCGTTCAAGATTGCCCCACTTGCATATAACATGTCGCGCGTGTACGTACGTGCGTGTGTGTGTGTGGCCGTGCGTGTATTTGACCGTGGCTGCTTGTAACTGCCCAGACCTATACGAGTTACATCTTACCATCCCACTGAGTTAAATGCAACAGTTTAACATGCATACACAACCGAGACAATTAATCTGGGCCGACAAGACCTTGGTTTATTCCTTAATGCCGGACGCTATGTAGCGTAACGCCAGCCACTATATCATATATAACCTCGACCTTCCGCTCTCAAGGCAGTCTATTCGTGACTGAAGGCGCTCGCATGAATTAAACTGAGATGGCGTGTGAAAAAACACATCACCAAATGAATGAGTTATAGCGTTTAGTGCAATGCGTTTACACTAAATACAGCCCTAACACATAAAACGCAGAAAGGTGTATTTCCTTTCATAACGAGAGGGATCTCTGGATCCACGTCAGTATAATATATACAGATTCACGTGTCGCGCTGGTGGCGGGGTAGCCTAGTGGTTAAAGCGTTCGCTCGTCCAGGTTCGATTCTCCACATGGGTACAATATGTGAAGCCTATTTCTGGTGCCCCGCCGCGATGTTGCTAGAATATTGCTAAAAGCGGCGTAAAACCATGCTCACTCCTTCGCGTGTCGTGGTGATAGTCACGTGCAAGTTATATCATCTTCCATCGTCAGTCACACTTCAGTGCATCATGTAATGCATGTCACGCACACCAGACGCGGTACGTGACGTATAGTTCAGGCATATAGACAATGTCAGGGTATACATACAAGCAGCACCGCCTATTGAGGGAGCTGTCTAGGCTCGACGGTAGGCATTGTGCTGCACCGCCATGTTCCTGCTACAGTTTCAAATGTCTCGCACAACTCGCTGTTAATAACCATTGTATTTAACCAATAGGGCGTATACATCTCGCGAGGTAATATACCTGGGCTTTATGACGCATTGTGGTTTTGACAAAGCCTCACAGAAGGGTCGAATTGAAAGGTCAAGGCTTATATTTATTAGCACTTCTCGGAGCATTTTGTTACATGTTAATGGGCGCTATATGACTCACACAATACCAGTGTGGCGTTATGTTTTATATATTAAACGTATAATATATAATATCATCTCGTCGATAGCGTAGTTACCGTATGTGACAATATCAGCACTTTGATTAGAACAATGTGAATGAAATGTTAGTATTTCTAAGTATGGCTGTATTCTGTGTATAAAACGAAAGACGGCCTCAGTCTACACTAGGTGTATATTTTAGTTGAAATGCTTATGTCATAGAGCTAACAAACTACGTTTATAAAGAACTGATGGATATAACGAGCTGTGTTTTTACACCGTCCACTAGGTGTATATTTTAGTTGAAATGCTTATGTCATAGAGCTAACACACTATGGTTATAACGAACTGATGGATATAACGAGCTGTGTGTTTACACCGTCTACTCGGTGTATATTTTAGTTGAAATGCTTATGTCATAGAGCTAACAAACTACGGTTATAACGAACTAGAATTTGTGGCCCCTTTGGGTTCGTTATAACCGTAGTGTATAGTATTAATTAAGTACTGGTTTTCTGCACTCTGTATATTCTTTGATTTCCTGATAGGTTATTACATTATAACCCAATGCACCATGTATCCATTGCCATGAATTAAAATATATTAAAACTGAGTCAAGGCTGTTCAATACAGCAATATTCTTAGTTGAAATAATCAGCGGATCCTGTGTTTAAATCCCAGATTTGCTCTGACCTTTAACCTTGGTTTGTCGGCACCATACCTGTGCTGGTGGTTTCACCAAGGTGATAAATATTACCTACCTGTGTGACGTTAGGCCTAGAAAGCTGGCTTGCCTTGATATAACAGAAATATTGCCTACTCACTCAGACTTCACATCAGCAACATTCGGTAACTGGTGAACAGACATCAGGAATATCCTTGATGAAGACATTGTCCAATAATCCATACCAAAGTACATTGGCTGGTCTTGTTACAAGTAGGCCCTGCGATAGCGATCCAGAAATGATTCCGTTCTCCGCTCTAATATATGTATATATCGCGTGTGGTCTACGTTTTCCGTCATCACGTGAACCCTGAATGAACTCTGGAGAAAGTTTCAATACACTATATACATGTAAGCATCTTACTGTACGGATTATTAGACGCAGTTTTACCATATATTAACCTGTTTTATGAAATGAATAATTCATTAGACAATATCAGCAAATATGCTACTGTTATCGCAAAATCAAATATATTTATTGGTATCACAAATGTGATTTAAGAGATCAGTGAATAAATTATTGTTCTAAATTGTGATATCGTGCTCAAACTAACTTTCAGACGCCTGGCAACAGAAAATTGGTAATCTCCAGCGTGCATTCTTCAATTGCGATGTTCCGTGTCGCAGCGTCAAGACGTGGCATGGTGATTTGACCTTGAAACTCCTTCAAAACGAACGCCGATTTCCTAAAGTAATCTGAATTTTTATAGCCAGACAGTGCATGCCTTTTGCTGCGCACTTTCTTTTGGAAGGTGATTTCTGTTGCGTTGTGGCGATGCCTTTTTAATTCTTGTAAGAAATCTCATCAAAATCAACATTTTCAGGTAAAGTAGATATTTCACTTGTGCAATAGTGTAATGTCATGCTATCAACACTTTTGTTACATATGTTGACGATTGTTTGAACCCAATTCGTAATTAATAGATTTTTAAAAATACAAAACGCCTATGCGTTTCTTTTATTGGATAGTATCTATTGCAATCTGAAAACATTTCAATTTTATTGTTATCTTGAATCGATTTTGTGACGAAAATAGAAATATTTTGAGAAAACTAAAAATACATCCGTTTTATTGTTTTCAACCATTCGATTTTGAATATAAATAAATGTATGTATTGATATCATTAAAAACTTCTTAATATCTGTAACGTAAAACTGGGAAAGGGCGGCTAGATGTTTAGTTTCTCATTAGTAGAACTCCGAATGCACCTCCTCCAACCTAATAGTTTCTAGCAAATGTTCACTTAGCCTTATTTTGTTAAGATTCGAGATAAATTCCAATCTCCAATTGAATGTTTATCTTCTGTATAGTACTCTTTATTATATCATAGTTTATGTTCGAACGACTTTTGCTTGGACGTTTATAGGAGAACGTTGCAACGTTCAATGCCTTAGTAACACAAATAGACACTTGGAGAACATTTCAGTGACACAAAATATGGACGATGGGATTCAATTTTGAGTATCATTTAGTATATAATTAACTTGCCTTTGTGTGTGTTTGCCACCGGTTAGGGAGGATATGCTCAACATTTCGTGCACACCTGGTATCATCACGTTCTGATGGTGATACAGAACATGTGATCATGACATATTCGGAATCGTACACTGGACGCTTATGGATTTTTAATGAAACTGAAAACATCTAGGGTGTTGTCGCTAAAATGTACTTTTATGTCTACATCCTGTAGACTGTTTAACAGTTAAAGTTGCATAACAAACAGAATACAATTTATAGCGTGTCTTTCCTCTTAATGCTCATATGTCATGCTCGTAACCTTATAATCCAGTCAGACCCATCGTGCCACTCATCGTCACCCCAACGCACGCCATGCCACGCCGCTGTCCCCTCTCTCCACCACACTCATATCCAACGCTTTATCTCTAAACCATACTCCCACCCAGTTGCCACTCAGATCCACCTATCTCACTACCCTGTGATAGGATCCATATCTAACAGGCCAAAATCAATGACAGGTTAGCCTGTAGCGTGACATAGACCCGTATACCCGGGCTGTATTTCACTACGCTAATCCGGCATTTTGATGTCTTTCTCCAATGGGTCAAAACAATCATAGATACACATCTTCTTGTCATGGCGTGACCATCGACATCGACCACCTCTCCGTCCACACCGCGTTCATGATATTAACATGTTAGTGAATGTCCACCCGATGCTGAGTGAGTGAGTGGATCACAATATTCGTTGTGTTAACGTAGACATATTGTAAATACCTAAAGAAACCTATTTACTGAATGGATCGGGGGATGGGTTTCGAGTTAAATCTGTGCCATCACACCCTGACGGCTTTTTGCAAGTACGTATACTTTCTGTGAGTGACTGCCGTCGTGCAAGTCGTTTAACAACAAAATCGTTTTTTGTAATATTGCTCGAAGTGTGTGTCTGATTGGCTTTGTCTAATAAACATATTTTCGTCCGGTTTCTGCTTCTCAAATGAGCATTGTCCAATTAGCGTAATTTACTCTGGTTTCGGCTACTCAAAAGAACATTGTCCAATGAATATCTTTTCCTTCGGTTTCTGCTACTCAAATGAACATTGTCCAATAGATTTCTTTTCCTCCGGTTTCTGCTACTCAAATGAACATTGTCCAATAGATTTCTTTTCCTCCGGTTTCTGCTACTCAAATGAACATGGTCCAATTAACATCTTTTCTTCTGGTTTCTGCTACCCAAATGAGCATTGTCCAATAAATATCTTTTCCTCTGGTTTCTGCTGCTCAAATGAACATTGTCCAATAAATATCTTTTCTTCCGGTTTATGTTACTCTAATGAGCATTGTCCAATAAATATCTTTTTTTCCGGTTTCTGTTATTCAAATGAGTATTGTCCAATAAATTTCTTTACTTCCGGTTTCTGTTACTCAAATGAGCATTGTCCAATAAATATCTTTTCTTCCGGTTTCTGTTACTCAAATGAACATTGTCTAATAAATATCTTTACTTCTGGTTTCAGTTGCTCAAATGAACATTGTCTAATAAATATCTTTTCCTCCGGTTTCTGCTACTCAAATGAACATTGTCCAATAAATATCTTTTCCTCCGGTTTCTGCTTCTCAAATGAACATTGTCCAATAAATATCTTTACTTCTGGTTTCTGTTGCTCAAATGAACATTGTCCAATAAATATCTTTTCCTCTGGATTCTGTTACTCAAATGAACATTGTCCAATAAATATCTTTTCCTCCGGTTTCTGTTACTCAAATGAGCATTGTCCAATAAATATGTTTTCCTCCGGTTTCTGCTACTCAATTGAACATTGTCCAATAAATATCTTTTCATGCGGGTTTATGTTGCTCAAATAAACATCGTCCAATAAACATGATTTCCTCCAGTTTCTGCCTCTCAAATAAACATCGTCCCATGCACATATATTCCTCCGGTTTATGCGTCTTAAATAAACATTGTCCAATAAACATAATTTCCTCCGGTTTATGCCTCTCAAATAAACATCGTCCAATGCACATCTTTTCCTCCGGTTTAAGCCTCTTTAATAAACATTGTCCAATAAACATAATTTCCTCCGGTTTCTGCCTCTCAAATGAACATTGTCCAATAAATATCTTTACTTCCGGTTTCTGTTACTCAAATGAACATTGTCCAATAAATATCTTTACTTCTGGTTTCTGCTGCTCAAATGAGCATTGTCCAATAAATATCTTTTCCTCCGGTTTCTGCTACTCTAATGAACATTGTCCAATAAATATGTTTTCATGCGGGTTTATGTTGCTCAATAAACATCGTTCAATAAACATGATTTCCTCCGGTTTCTGCCTCTCAAATAAACATCGTCCCATGCACATCTTTTCCTCCGGTTTAAGCCTCTTAAATAGACATTGTCCAATGAACATAATTTCCTCCGGTTTCTGCCTCTCAAATAAGCATTGTCCAATAAACATAATTTCCTCCGGTTTCTGCCTCTCAAATGAACATTGTCAATTAGACATACTTTCCTCTGCTTTCAGCTTCTCAAATGAACATTGTCCAATAAGTACCATGTTCTCCGGTTTCTGCTGCTCAGTAGCACAAATTAATCAGAAAACGCATGCGAGCAACATTCCTAAAGTAACCCCCATAAACCCTGTATGCCCCTAAGCTATCCCTTCATGAACCCCTAATGCTCACTCTAATTCCAGCAAATATATAGGTCATTAAAGCGACAATACCCTTTCCATAAATGACAAGAAATATTTCCTGAAAGCATAGTCCATAGTTTGAATCCGATCACTTCATTAGCAAATCAAATGGCGACGACACAGGATTTTGGGAAAAGGTGAGCATATCCTGCCTTTCAGTTGTACCCGACGCACACATGGAAACATACACAAACATTAGGAAGATATGGGTTTACCATGTGAAGTTAGTAAATGCCAAGCCACGTGGAGATTCAGAGACAGAATATATTGAAAATAATCCGACTAGGAAGTGACTCGCGTGCTTACACAATGTGTGTTGTCGGTGTCATTCTACCTGACAGCCCTAGCCGTTGCTCGCATTACCAACCACTGTTTTGTCCATCATGGATATTTACTGGCTACAATGAACTAGTTAAACTATCGCTAATCGCGGCGTATTGTATTAAAACATGATTCAAATTAGGAAACATGAAGCACGACAATCAGGATATAGTATTGTTAAATAATGCGTGAGTGAATGTTGGTTTACAGCGCACCAGACAACAGTCCATCTATTTCACAGCGACCTGTAAATGATAGAGCCTTGGACTGGTGAACGAGTGACCAAAATCATGAGCAGCTGGCCCACCCCATGAGTGTTCGATGACACAGCAGAATTGGACAGCCCTATCCCCAGTTTAGTTGACTTAAGAAAACCGTATGTACTCAGGACTAAATCGATTCCGGGATTGTAATGGGAGGATACAGTAAAACGTTGGTTCGTCCTTTCATTGCAAAATAACACAAATAGAAGAATAGAAGAATTCACATTGCTCCCTGTCTCGATTCCTTCAACAGTCGACCCAGAATATGTCACAATTTTCATAACCAGGTTCACACTGGGCTTCGGCTTTTGAAATTGAATTCCCGACAAGCATTGAACCAAGACAAGCAAACACATACATCACTAACACCAGACACCGTGATATACTCACCACGACACAGCAAGCAATTTATCCCCAATTACGTCCAATTTCAAAACACACCGTTTAAGCTGTGCACGCAGACTTTACGATATTACCCAGTAGCTGACTGCCCTCACCGACAGGGATCTTACAGTGAAGCAACTGGGGGTTGTAAACAAATATCTCCTGTGAGCTATAAAGTAGCCAGCGTTTACCGAGCGCTTGGAAACCAATATTGATTAGAAGATAGTTCAGTAACAGGTCAAAGGGCAATCTGCTAGACACAAGTACGACAATTACTCAATGTAGCGTTGTGTCCTGATCAATTGTTTTCGTTATTGTTCATTGTTGAACGCTTTTATCGAATTATTTGATTTAAAAATAGTATTTTATGAAAATAAAACGTTAATAGGCATGTGTTGCTTTTTATTGTTAAATGGAATGTCCATCTTGAATAGAGTGTTATGGATTGACCACACGTCAATGGTAACGTCACGTTGTACAAACGTCACATAATATCTTGACTGGTTTTAGTATTTATTCGATATCCAATAGCCGCAATTCAAACAAGTAATCAAATGCCAATGTCAATATTGCCAAAGTGTCAAATACGTAAAAACACGCACGTTATGTGTCATTTATTTCACTTTGTGTCTGATACTGTTATCTTCGTGCGGAGTTGCTACTATGTTATATTTTATGAACGATTTCATTTAAACATCACGTATATATATGTAATACAAAATATTCACTAGGTAAGTGGCAGTACATATGTACGTACAAAAAATGTACGTACCTACCTACACACACACAGACAATATACATACGTACATAAATATGTATGTACGTACATTCAGTGAAAACGTTGGTTCGTCCTTTTGATTGAAATTAATACAAAAGACAGAACATTTCGGAATACTGCGAAAAAGTCGAAAATGATGACTATGCACAATTAGCCATATCACATTAGCCATAGTGAGCAGTATATCACATTAGCCATAGTGAGCAGTATATCACATTAGCCATAGTATGCAGTATATCACATTAGCCATAGTGAGCAGTATATCACATTAGCCATAGTGAGCAGTATATCACATTAGCCAAAGTGAGCAGTATATAACATTAGCCATCTCGTAAGTAGTAGCATCGCAGAGGACCTAAACTTAAACATTCCAATAACACATTAACAAGGTGTCGTTGTACAAAGCGATCTTAGCGCTAAGATAATCGTAACTCCCGTACCATAAATCTTAGCGCTAAGGTAATGGTAACTACGGACCATAAAGAGACTCTGACAATCTTGGCGCTAAGGTAATGGTAGCTACCTACCATAAAAGAGACTCTGACAGTCTTAGCGCTAAGGTAATGGTAGCTACCTACCATAAAAGAGACTCTGACAGTCTTAGCGCTAAGGTAATGGTAACTACGGACCATAAAAGAGACTCTGACAGTCTTAGCGCTAAGGTAATGGTAACTACGGACCATAAAGAGACTGACAGTCTTAGCGCTAAGGTAATGGTAACTACCTACCATAAAAGAGACTCTGACAGTCTTAGCGCTAAGGTAATGGTAACTACCTACCATAAAAGAGACTGACAGTCTTAGCGCTAAGGTAATGGTAACTACGGACCATAAAGAGACTGACAGTCTTAGCGCTAAGGTAATGGTAACTACGGACCATAAAAGAGACTGACAGTCTTAGCGCTAAGGTAATGGTAACTACGGACCATAAAAGAGACTGACAGTCTTAGCGCTAAGGTAATGGTAACTACGGACCATAAAAGAGACTAACGACAGTCTTATCGCAAACGTTGTTTTGTAAAGGGGCACCTGGACTTCATTGAGTGACAACTGGAGACAGTTGATTGCGGATTTTATGCTCTGTCTAGTCCATAAATATCTTGAAGTTTCCACTTGAGTGTGTAGACAATGAGAAGTCATTTGATATACCCGTAACATGTCCAAACAAATCAGCCACTGCCTGTCCAACACTGTGGGATACCTTAACGATCAAACAGGTGAGACATGTTGGCCAACCGATACCCATTTCTTTCGGTTCTTACCACATTAATGGGAAGGGAGGGCTAGTTTCAAAGGGTTACACTTGTTCGGGAATCTTCGTCAATGACAGTTTGAAAGCCCTGCTATTCGCACTAATGTTCACTGCAAAAGTGTAGTCTAACACGCAACACTTCAATAATGACAATTATAGTTTTAAATTTCAACGTCGCAGCCTCGACGTTTGGAAACTAGTTAAATATTTAAACCTTGCGAGAATGCGAGAACTTTCGATTTTGGGTGAGTGAGTGAGTCAGTCAGTTTAAAGTTGAAGCTATCACTAAATCATACATGTCTTAGATAGTTACCAGTTTGGTGCAACCCACGAACGCAGGTATGGTGCAGGCAAACCCAAAACCATAATCAGGGCAATACGGGATTCGAACCAACAAGGGGCGGTGGGGTAGCCTAGTGGTTAAAGCGTTCGCTCGTCACGTCGAAGACCCGAGTTCGATTCCCCACATGGGTACATTATGTGAAGCCCATTTCTGGTGTCCCCCGCCGTGATATTGCTGGAATATTGCTTAAAGCGGCGTAAAACTAAACTTACTCACTCACTCGAACCAATAATCATAGGTTCCTTGCGAGCCCCAGATACGCAACAGCGATGTGCGTCGCTCCGACAGGGTATTGCGTCATGGTCCCAACGTGGTCACATTCCACCGTCAAAACCACACCATTTAGACGTGACACATGGCCTTAACACTACCTCACGTAATGTCCCTCTAAGCTTCAGATCAACATGTATCGTTCTCTGATCCCAGTTCGGCAATATATCAGCAGTTTGGCAGCTATGATGTTCTTTTTGTAGCTGCAAGGGATTAATATCCGGACGTTTGTCTTCCGTGTCCGTCACCCGACGTTGTGAATACAGAGACAGGTTAGTTACCTGGATATGAGGTGATCGATGATCGGTTAATCAGCAAATATTGATTTCATACACAAACATATCGCCTGTAACGTAGCGTTGGTTCTATGAACATCGACTACGCACTGAGAATACAAACCACTGTGAACGCTTTGTATGAATATATTTCTGTTGTCCCGGCGTTATGCTGTGCTAGATAGGAACTACAAATGTACGAATGTCCAGAAATTATCCGTTTATAAAATAGTTCCTTTTATTTCTCAAAACCACTTTTGACTATTTACACCATACCTTTCACCGAAAGGCTATATTTCCTATAATTTCCATTTTCTCTATACTGACTGCTGACTGACTGAGTTTAGTTTTACGCCGCTTTTAGCAATATTCCAGTAACATCACGGCGGGGGACACCTGAAATGGGCTTCACACATTGTACCCATGTGGGGATTCGAACCCAGGATTTTCTCTATAGTATTCCGACATGTTTGCACAGTTCACTACTTTAGACATAGTGAAGCTATTCACATACACATTTACCGTGTACGAGGGCACAAAGTACTGTCACACACCTTTGTGTCGAAGTGACTCGAACACTTCGAGTTAACCGAGGTTCGACACAACCGTAAAATGCCCACTAAAACGGAATACGCAGAGGCCAAGTTTTCACTTCGAGACAACCGTACCATATATATTCCTATACCAGGGAGTTATAGTGGTTAATGCACTCCTTATGTATGGTATCCAAATGCTTTCTCATTGTTTTGAGTGTGAAATTACATGTTAATACAAAAATACTACCAGGTTATCAATTTTGGAATTTTGTTTTGAGGATCCTATGATTAACTCCTTTTATCTTGCATTACTATAACCTGACTAAGTTAGTTTTAAACTTATTTCCGATTGGAGCCCACATAGTTAGAGTACCTGAATAATCGCTTCAATATTGTCATTATGTTAGGTATATATACTCTCCAAAATATACTCTCTCGCATATATTTCAACTGTATTTTTATGTTTATTTTGAAACATCTTGTAGGCTTTATGAGTCAATGAAATATGTTAGGTATATACATTGTAGACATTAACAGTCGTAGACAGTCGAACATATGTCGAGAAACCCGTAGTTCGAGACATCGGTGTGCATATGTGTTACACTGTGACAAACGTTATATCGAGATAATGGAGTCCAAGTAGAAGGGTCGTGCTGAATTACTGTATGTGGGTATGCCCAGAACAAAGAATCAAGAAAACGCGACACCAAGAATGGATTACATTATTACATTTGGAATTCTTAATGTAAGATGGACCAAGAAGATGACAAAGAATGTCAATGATTTTGGAATATATATTCATATTACCTATCTTCTCTCTACCTACAAAAATGTCCTAATGTATTATACATATTATTCCAGTATCAATGTCAGAACTGTTTCATTATTTGATTTGACATTAAAATCAATAAAACACGTTGATGATGGGATAACGAGCATACTACGTTGCAAACACGATATCATGAGGTGAGGTGAGGTGAGGTGAGGTGAGGTGAGGTGAGGTGAAATTGGGTTTAACGTCGTGCTTGAGAATATTTCGCTCATATGACGATGTGCATGCGTGTGTATGTGTATGTGCGGCTGCTTGTACTAGCCCCGACTTAAGCTGGTTTTATAGTGCTAGCCCACTGAGATACCACGCTGCAGTGAAGCATGAATACCCCACTCAGACACATTATACTGACTCCGAGCCGACCAGTCCTTGTTGTACCCATTAATGCCGAGCGCCAGGCAGGGACCAACAAGTACCGTATTTTAACGTCTTTTGGTATGACGCGCGACCTTCCGCTCTCCGGGCGGACGCTCTAACCACTACACCACGGAGGCGGTCCGATCTCATGAAGGTAAACTTTGACATAATGAATGTTATCTGTTCCACACATGGTCATTGCTATGTACAAGAACTACAAAATAAAGAACGTTATTTGTTGTATAAATACTCCAAACGTACATTTACGTGCTGGTCAATTACATTGTAACTGTTATCTTAACCTCAGGCGTGGTTAACATTGTGTCAAGTCGTGTAGGTGACAATTCAACCGATACGAAATGTAGTAGTCATATAATGAAGCAGATTTCAGTCTTTTCATATATGCATTACGGTGGGTCTGCATCAACATACATACACTACATGATTACATAACGGCATAAGTGAAGTGTCATCCAACGGACTTCACCATAACAATTCTCCATGGTTTCACACATAAATTCAAAGTGGCTTGACTCCGAAATACCAGAACAAACTCGTGTATTATTAATGACCTTAAAATTGTAGGAATTCAACATAACAGATCTGTCTTCTTTCGTAGACGACCTTTAGGTCTGTCTCCCTTTTCCACCTATGACCCTAAGCTGGGCAAACGTCGACATAACAGACTTGAAATAATAGATCTCTCTTGTTTTATAAATAATCTCAAAGCAGACATCTTAAAAATTATCCAAATTAGGTTTTAAGTCAACTATTCAATAAAGCTATAACTATGCCATGACCTACCTATGCTACGATATGCAGGGATTACATTGCATCAGCTATCTGCGTTGCTCACAGAGCCTACCTAAAACGCTGTTATTATGCAGAGACATGCATTTGGCTTGGATAGAGGTTTGGATAAGGAACATTTGACACGTTACCTGCTTATAGTTAGGATTATATGGTATTTATAGTTATACACTATGTTTTAAACACAATGAAACACCCCTGACAAGCGTTGGGATTGCTAAACCTCAACCACATGAAAACTAGGGCTGCGCAATATAACGGTTTACCGGTATTTACCGGTTCAAACATGAAAACGATACGTATTGCGATACGGTGATCAAAAACCGGTATTTTGACTTGCATTCGGAAAACTTCGTAACACTCGGAAATCGTCGGACATTTCCGTGTTTCATTTGTGCCAAATATTATTTACATTTTATTTTGTCATGATTAAATGTTGTTGTTAAAGCTTAATCAAGCATTGTTATTTTGTTGTGTTTTTGCTTTATAAATCAAGCATTAATTCGATTATAAGTAGTTTTATGTTTAAAAATACTTCTTGCAATATATTGCAATACATATCGCAATATATGCTTTCGCATCGCAATATATGGCAATGTGAAAATTCTCTGCAATACCCACCCCTAATGAAAACGGTGCTGCGTGTTATCTCAAAACCTGACATTTTGTTTGGAAGCATATCCATTTGTGTGATGAACGCGAACATGAGTGCTAATTCTATAATAAACTAGCCATACATAAGAAACTTAATGCGGCATTGGTAACATTTAATCTTGAGTCTTATACTGAGTCACCAAGTGATTGCTCATTGGACCAGAACAGCTGCCATTACTACCCATATAGCACAGCAGTGCCTATTTAAATGATATTCCCAGCTCCACGGGGAGCATACAATCCCAACTACCCAGTGTTTTTCATTTACACAGATATTTGTACCAGCTTGTGACGAAAACAGGAATTACGTACAGTATACTGGTATACAAATACATTCCGGTTTAAAATAGAAATCCATTTTTATGACATTTGTGTTTATAAATCTCCGTCTTTGCAGTATATGCAAAAATCATATATACATATATATCACATTAATACACATGATTATGAATATTGTAGACGTGGACACATCCAAGTGTAGAAAATATATATTGCGCGTTGTACGTATCTTGCTCAAGATTTATACTCACGAAATGAATGTATGTTACGCAAGTGTAAATGATTACGACGTACTCTTTCGACATGATAGCGTATTATACAACTGTAAGAATATACACGGTTAGAGTAGGACAGGACATGGCATGCCAGTGTGTTTTGCGAACATGAATTACACTTGCAGAATGATAAAAATGCAACCCTGAATCTTACTGTCAGAATTTTATCCTGATTAGGCCCAGTAGAACACCACAGCACAAATCCAATGTGTATTGCCTAAGCACAACATCAACTCCGTTGTGTATTGCCTAAACACAACATTACTCCGAGGTGTTTTACCTGAGCACAGCATCAAACACCGAGGTGTTTTCCCAAACACATTATAACTCCAATGTGTAATCAATTTTCCTGTACGTACCATCATAAATCCGAGATATATTACCTGAGCACAACATTTTAACTCCTAGGTGTTTTTCCTGAACACAGCATAATAGTACCAGAGTACAACGTTATAGATCCGAGGTGTGTTACCTGAGCACAACATTACAACTCCGAGGTGTTTTCCCTGAGCACAACATTATAACTCTGAGGTGTTTTACCTGAGCACAACGTTATAGATCCGAGGTGTTTTACCTGAGCACAACATTATAACTCTGAGGTGTTTTACCTGGGTACAACGTAATAGATCCGAGGTGTTTTACCTGAGCACAACATTATAACTCCGAGGTGTTTTACCTGAGCACAACGTTATAGATCCGAGGTGTTTTACCTGGGCACAACGTTATAGATCCGAGGTGTTTTACCTGAGCACAACATTATAACTCCGAGGTGTTTTACCTGGGCACAACATTATAACTCCGAGGTGTTTTACCTGAGCACAGCATTATAACTCCGAGGTGTTTACCTGAGCACAACATTAACTCCGAGGTGTTTTACCTGGGTACAACATCATAAAGACAAGGTGTATTACCTGAACACAACGTCATAACTCCGAGGACTAGTTGACGATACAATCACCGAACATATATCTACCGCCTGCATCACAGAAGACCTCTGATAACATCAGTTGAACACACGAGTCAGGTATGCCTACTTACAGGTGCGCTTCGACTCACAACCCCCATGAACCTCCTGGGTGTTATCGATCCCGTCCGGAGATTGATTCCACGGCCGGTGATCTCCAATAGTCTCGTATCCATTGTCAATCAGTCGATCAAGTCCAAGATCAGTGGGCAGGGGTTGGAAAATCAATTCACAAACTAACAAAACGGTTTCTATACAAACTCATTCCAGTCACGACTGTAGAGACATTACGTTAGAAATACACCACAACTAGGCAGTAATGAACAGGTGGCGGTAAGAAGTATATCCCACTAACGCAGAACAGGTGAACAATGGCGAGATATTTGTACCAGCTTGTGACGAAAACAGGAATTACGTTCAGTATACCGGTATTCTTTAACTGGATGTAAGTTCCCGGCTTATACCTAATCATGCCGCCACGGTTCGCTTCATGCTACTGATTGTAATACGTATTGGATCAAGCCAGATTTTGTTTGTGGAAGGCGGGCTGTGAGGTAATTACTTCAAGTTTGAGATAAGACGCTTGTGGAATTAGGAGTTCTGGCCCTCTGTACCTGGTTGTGTAATTCAGCCGGGTGCTCCTCCTGTCTGGCACTGCCTTCCGTAGATAGTCATTATAATACAAAACATTTTCCATGATAATAGGGCGGTAGGATAGCTTAGTGGTTAAAGCGTTCGCTCCGTCAAGGCGATGACCCATGTTCGATTCCCTACATAGGTACGATGTCTGGAGTCTATTTCTGGTGACCCTCGCCTTGGTATTGATGAAACATTGCTAAAGGCGGCGTAAAACTAAACTCACTCCTTCAATGATAATGAAAATGAAGACGATGAGTCCATTAATAATTCGCCGAATTCTACTCAAGTGTTTGTTGATTTGCTTGTTGTTTTACGCCGCACTCAGCTTATAGGCGGTGGTCTGTAAATAATCGTAGTCTGGACCAGACAATCCGCTGATCAAAATCATGAACATCGATCTACGCAATTGGTATACGATGACGTGTCCCGTCCAAGTCAGCCAGACTGGACCCAGATCCACAAAGCGTTCTTAACGTTACGACCTATCGTAACTCTATACTTTACCATAGGCTTACAAATGATATAGTGCTACGGACGTTTTGTGGATAGGGCCCCAAAACCAGACCCCGTTAGTCACCTCTTACGACAAGCATGGGTTGCTGAAGACCAATTCTAACCAGTTCATAGGCATCTACTCAAGTGAATACTCATGCAGTTTTATTATTACACTAACGGTCAATGGATCGGGGTCAATTTTATTTTTTATTTTCAACTCCCTAGAAGGTATACAATCCAACCTACCTGCAACTCTCCATCACACCCTACCTGAAGCTGTTGTCCCGTATCAGATAAACGTTACGTTTTCTTAAATATCGTATGTCTTGAAGTTTTGCTTCAGCATTCTATTTCTGTCCAAGGTTTAGGTTTAAAAATCAGTTATTTTTCCAATTAGATGCAGGTTTATACATTCTTACGATTGCATTTTTCTGCCATTTATTGAAAATTGCATTAGTTTGCTGTCACAAACGGCGAATGCTAGCTCACAAACTCTCTCTCTCTCTCTCTCTCTCTCTCTCTCTCTCTCTCTCTCTCTCTCTCACACACACACACACAAATAAATAAATAAATAATTAACTACATGATTGTCACATGTAGACAACAGCATCGAAACAAATGGGTATTGAATTACTAGATATTACTAAACGTGAGTGAGTTTTAACACCTGTATGTCTGTCCATTATAACATCATCACAACAATTAAGCTTCAATTCACTTTATTTCATGATATTTCTAAACTATAATTTGAGATTTTACATTACATAAATCAAATGTGCTGATTTTCATACATATATTCATTCATAATTTAACAGAAGTTATCCTTGAGGCGGAAGGCACTGAAATAGACATTCTGGTCGAGTGGACTGGCGGAGCAAGCCGAATTGCCGCCGAAGAAAGCCGAAAAGAAGATGCCGTCGATTTGAACATCGGCGGTGTTCCTGATCATGACGTCATTTACTTCAAACATCAAACCGAGGACATTTGACGCGAGCCGGATGTAGCCGTTAGCTTGCCCGGGTGTGTTGAGGCGGACGGTCATAAATATGGTGTACCATATATCTTCCTGGAAATAGAAGCTGTCCCTCCCAAGCTTTGTGACCCCAGTCTTGATTACAATCAACGTCGGCTGAGCTGCAGAATCCCCCCTGCTGGGCGACTTCAGGAGCGAAAAGACTGACTCCTCCCATGCCATCCGTTCTCCAGATCAATCGGGCCGTGAAACAGTCCTTGCCTGGGTCGCCTCCAGATGTACAGTTGACCCCGCCCCCGTACAGACCCGGTAGCTTTCCACCGTAGGCGAAGTCGTACCCTGGGGGGAAGAAGACCTTGTACTGGAGGGTGAGGCATTCTCTGGGTGTCACCGGGCTGGCGTAGAACTGGGTGCCGCTGTTCGGCCCCGTCAAAGCGTATGAACCTTGTTGGAAGAAGATGTCGTGAACTTTGCTGTTGGTGCGGCTGTCGGGGTTGGAAGTTGCGGAAGCGGACTCCCCTCCGATGTAGGTATCTTCGTGTATGTTCCATCCGTTTCGCCACATGTTGGCCACCTGCGGGTTGCTTGACCCCCACAGTTTTACGCCATCTGAGGATATAGTTTCATGTCATAAAAAATGTATGATACTTTATGGATGACAAGTTTTTATTACATAATGATGCGACGTGTCGGTATAGATTCTTATACCATTGTCAAGTAAGAGTGAACCTGTACCGAAACGTCGCATCACAATACAATAAAAAGAGTGAGTGAGTTTAGTTTTACGCCGTACTCGGCACTATTCCAGCTATATGGCGACGGTCTGTAAATAATCGAGTCTAGACCAGACAATCCAGTGATCAACAGCGTGAGCATCGATCTGCGCAATTGGGAACTAATGACATTTCTCAACCAAGCCAGCGTGCCTGAACACCCGATCCCGTTAGTCGCCTCTTACGGCAAGCATGGGTTACTGAAGATTTATTCTAACCCGGACCTTCACTGGTGTAATATATATAATAAAAAGTTAACATCCATAAAATATGATTACTTCCTATATGCCAATCAAATCAATTTTATATGATATTTATGTATCAATACAGAATGAACACATGAACATTTTGAATTTTTTGTTTTGTATTCTAAAATCAAGTTGGCCAAGAAACCAAATATTGTCATGGAAAATTTGCGGAATTTAGCCAAAACTAACTCTTGAAATCAACATTGAAATATATTATTTTAAACAGGTACTTCAAAACAGAAACATTTAAAGAACGGAAAAATGTCTAGCCCAATTAAGAGTTCGTGATGACTCAGTAAATGATTTAGTGAAATAAGTCAAATCGAACATATTAACTTATTGATGCGGGCTGTTATACAGTCATGTCTGATTGAACTTCATGAATGTGTTGAATGAGTAAGCATGGTTTACGACACTTTTAGCATCTTCCAGCAATTCACGGATATTATACCATGCGGGCAATAGAACCTAGATTTCCAGTTTGACGTGTCAACACTCAAAAGCCAGTGTAACGCACCACCCTCTTGAGAATGCGTAATGAGGTAACTGACCTATATAAGAGACACAACACCCCAGCAGGAACAGCAGCGTCAGCGTCAGTGCCATCGTCATAGTATCTGGACATGAGAGACAAGGATGTTCTGAACATGAGTGAGTGAGTGAGTTTAGTTTTACGCCGTTCTCAACAATATTCCAGCTATGTGGTGGCGGTATGTAAATAGTCGAGTCTGGACCAGACAATCCAGTGATCAAAGGTATGACCATCGTTGTGTGCAATTGGGAACCGATGACATGTGTCAACCAAGCCAGCGAACCTGACCACCCGATCCCGTTAGTCGCCTCTTACGACAAGCATGGGTTACTGAAGGTTCATTCTAAACCGGACCTTCACGGATTTTCTGAACATGAAGGCAAGCATAGCTGACAAGTGTATATTCCCCAGTAGGCTTGTTGGATCAGTCTTGGTCAGTTGATTGATTGTTTGTTATCGTATTCCAGATTCGTAGATCAATGCCCATGTTATTAATCACTTTATTGTTTGGTCAAGACTCTATACATTGTATTTACACACTGTCGCCATATAGCTCGAATATTGCTTAGTGTGGCGTAATACAATAAACAAACAAAGTATAACCTGAATCACTTGTCTTCAAACATGAGGATTTATATTTTCGATAAATGCAATTGTCTATGTACTAATCAGATTAGAACCATCAAGATGGTAGGAATGTTTGGCCGTCATCACTAAGGCCATAGTCTAAGATGCAAAATCTTTATTGGTCCGTTTTCCAACAGGATAAGTAAATATATTGCAGTGGGAAATGTAAGAACTCGTTCTTTAAGGCAAGCTCCTTAACTGCGTTAAGTTGCATTTGACCTTAGATCACCACCTATAGACTTCTCTGAAGCAAATAATCTGCGATTCAGGTGTATCAGCCAAACACTGTGGGTTTGATTGATTGATTGATTGTTGTTTAATGCCTCACTCAGCAATATTCCATCTATATGGCGGCTGTCTGTAAATAGTCGAGTTTGGACCAGAAAATCCAGTGATCAACAGCTTAAACATCGCCCTACGCAATTGTGATACGATGACATGTGTCAACCATTTCAGCGAGCCTTACCATACGATCCCGTTAGTAGCCTCTTACGACATGCATAGGTTACTGTGTACCAATTCTAACCCGGACCTTCACGGGTCAAACACTGTGGGACAGTCCGTAGCTCTACTTATTGACAGATCAATAGTTTACAGCACAGAGAAGCACAGAGATATGGTTACCGTAGCTCCCGTTTGACCAGTCTTGGAACTTGTGTCCCTACATCCTTGTAAATGTAAGGACGGTTACAAACCTGCTTCTCAGTGAGTAGTGATGAGCGCGTTACTTTTTAGCAATATTCCAGCAATATCACGGCGGGGGACACCAGAAATGGGCTTCACACATTGTACCAATGTCGGGAAAACGAACCCGGGTCTTCAGCATGACAAGCGAACGATTTAACCACTAGGCTACCCCACTGCCCCGCTTCTGGAAAGATTTCCGCCCGTAATCCCCGTTTTTCATCATTCTATGCCTAAGAAAATATTTTTTTAACTAAACCTAACCCTAACCCTAACCCTCTAAATAATCCTAATAAATAGAATACATTTCAGGCGGGCGTTACGGGCAGAACTTTTGCCCCGCTTCTCAATGAAACTACAGTGGCATCTTCCACTATAAAAGTATGAATTTACAAGAACGAAACATCATCTCAGCTAGTGTGATTCCAGTCCTTAAACTCAACGTGTCCTGTCTGTTAGTGTTGAAGACAACAATGTTTCAGTTCCACATATGACAGACGTTAAACTAAACTGGGAATTGGCACCGGTTGCTTGAGTATAACCTTCTAGAATCATTCCAGATTCATACATTTCAGCGACAAACTCATTTCTATGATCATGAAGCTAACAACAGAGTACACTGTATGCTTCCGACTATATAATTATGAATCACTGTCAAACAGTGATAAAATCAGTTGTTCGCGAAAAGTGAGCGGATCCTGCCGCATCTATCCACATCCACATCTATCCACAAACACATGCAAAGGTATAGCTAACTCGTCATGTCAATATGAAATACTGAACAGGAAGAGTGATTTTCACAAGCTTACCTTGTCTCCGTTGTCAGTGAAGGACAGTGAAGACACCAGGCTCCTGGGGGTTAATATACACTGCCAGTATTATCTGTACATCAAATTAAATGACTTGCAGAGAGAAAGGAATCCACTAATTTCCTTTGTAGCCTGAAGGTGGTCCCAGTGTGACGTCCAGGACTGTCAGTTTGGTTGTTACGTGTGTCAGATGACAAAAAACGCCACACTCCTGTTCTGCCATGCACGTGTCCCTTCAGAAATACCAATTTAATCAGCACCTCTCTTGTGTGCCTTGCATGCCTTCAGGAACATTCAATGCACGCCTCCTTGTAGCTCACCTGATCAAGAAATCTGTCTCACAGTCCCTGAACCGCATTACTATACCTTCTGCCAAGCCCTGTCTGCACTACTAAAGCTCTAAATGAAGGAAGTCTAGATTTCCTTTGGTACTCTCCTTTCTCAAAGGGATCTTTTTTTATTTGAAAAAAATGTTTGTTTCTATATAAATTATAATTATATATTCAGAGACTAAGCGTTACTCTACTGAAGAAATGATTACGGTATCTGTCGAAGCTTCCAGAGAATTCCTACCTGATTTGAAACATGACAAATACGGTGGCCTTATCTAAAATATTAACAATAAAAACCTCAGTGCAAAGAATACACAGTTTTGATTATATTCAATTTCGTGTGACGCAAATGATACACCACATTATGCACAAGGAGAATATATACATGAAGGATATGTTTGGGTTTACACAACTGACGAGGTTGTAGGTATTACTGACAATGGGTGTGATTACAGATAATGATTGATGGAGGGGTTATTGTTGTTATTCTTGATTAGCCTTGATCAGATGATAAGGAAGAGTGGGGATCCCGCAGGTAGACCTTCGTCATGTCTTCATAAACCTTAAGGGGCGGTGGGTTAGCCTAGTGGTTAAAGTGTTGGCTCGTCACGCCAAAGACCTGGGTTCGAATCCCTACATGGGTACAATGTGTGAAGCCCTTTTCTGGTGTTCCCCGCAGTGATGTTGCTGGAATATTGCTAAAAGCGGCGTAAAACCAAACTCAGTCAGTCAGTAAGTCAGTCATAAACCTTAATCAGTATCCACCTAACCCAGTCAACAAAACCCTCAAGACCACCCTCAGCCTTAAAGACAACCATCACGTCAGCAATCAGCACCGTTCATCATCAGCATACCACACGTCGATACAACTAGCTATCATATCCGCAGACTACAAAAGAAGCAATAAAGAGTTGTCTATCCATAAAAAGTGTTCCTCTTCATCATACCAGTTTCTAAATGCCACTTAAAGAAACTCCACATCTGTCAATAATATAGTCACTCGACGATGGTCCCTGAATTCAAATTCAAAACTAAACATGGCCGCCGCGGCAGCCATTTCAGAACCGTCATTTCTTCATCGTTCAGCCTTTTGTAATGTCTTGATAAAACTGTGATGTCCATGGATATGTCGAATGTCGAATAACACGTTTTTGTGTATTATGATATAACGTGCTCTTCAAGTAATTATGCTCATCCCTATTTTTAATATCTGAGACACCGACGTCTAAAGCACAGCCAGTCACTATTTAGAGTTGCCCCCCTTTACATACGATCATGTGTTTGATCCCTCTGGCCGTGAAAATCCGGGTTGGAATTGGTTTCAACCTACGCAACAACACTGATACACTTACAGCCATGACGTCCACTGTGACCATATCGCTATTCACTTGGAAATTGAAAATCGGAAATCGAAACTAATTTGTGAATAGAATACAGATAAATGATCAATAGATCAACAAAACATGTACAGAGCAAAACAAGTGCAGCAACCGCTGGTATAATGCCAACAACACTGTTACAGCCACAACGTCCACCTGTGTTCATATCAGTATGTATTGTACATATATTGCTGGACATGGATTCGATCTTAGACACGTTCTACTCGTGCTCGGCCGTTGAATAGTGTTGGAGGACCGTTTAACATATTATTGAATACATAAACAACTAATTTGTGAAGTCATAATATGACCACAGATCAATGAATACTACAAAACATGTATTCAAACAGTTTTAGGTTAACAAAACAGAATTCCATAGGTGGAATAGGTAACAGCTTGTAAACCGCTGGTATACTGCCTCTGCCATGCCGGTATACTGCATGTTGGCTGCCTGCTGGCGCACTATACTCTGACTAATGACTGCCTTTAGACTATCCGTAAACTGCCTGTGAGACTGTCGTAATGTGTTTGTAGACTGTCGTAAAGTGCCTGTAGACTGTCCGTAAACTGTCCTTTGACTGTCGTAATCTGCCTGTGGACTGTCGTAATCTGCCTGTGGACTGATGTAATCTGCCTGTGGACTGTCGTAATCTGCCTGTGGACTGTCGTAATCTGTCTGTGGACTGATGTAATCTGCCTGTGGATTGTCGTAATCTGTCTGTGGACTGTCGTAATCTGTTTGTAGACGGTCTTTAGACTGTCTGTAAACTGACTCTAGACTGTCCTTAAACTGTATGTTGGTGACCTGTCCTGATGACTTCCTGTAACAAGTCTATTTGGCTATTGCTAGACCGTCCGTAACCTGCCTGTAACCTGTTTAGTCTCAATAGTCAGCCTCTAGATTACCAGTAAAATACTGCTAGACTCCCGAATGATTCTGTATCATGCTTTCTGTATACCGCCTGTGGGTTGCCTCTAACGTGCCTTGAACCAGTTGGACTGTCTCCAGTCTGCCCATAAACTGTATGTTGGACTGTCTCCAGTCTGCCCGTAAACTGTATGTTGGACTGTCTCCAGTCTGCCCGTAAACTGTATGTTGGACTGTCTCCAGTCTGCCCGTAAACTGTATGTTGGACTGTCTCCAGTCTGCCCATAAACTGTATGTTGGACTGTCTCCAGTCTGCCCGTAAACTGTATGTTGGACTGTCTCCAGCCTGCCCGTAAACTGTATGTTGTACTGTCTCCAGTCTGCCCTCCAGTAAACTATGTTTGACTGTCTCCAGCCTGCCCATGTTGTTGACTGTCTCCAGCCTGCCCATTAACTGTATGTTGGACTGTTTCCAGTCTGCCCGTAAACTGTATGTTGGACTGTCTCCAGTCTGCCCATAAACTGTATGTTGGACTGTCTCCAGTCTGCCCGTAAACTGTATGTTGGACTGTCTCCAGTCTGCCCATAAACTGTATGTTGGACTGTCTCCAGTCTGCCCGTAAACTGTATGTTGGACTGTCTCCAGTCTGCCCATAAACTGTATGTTGGACTGTCTCCAGCCTGCCTGTAAACTGATTGTTGATTGAAAGTAATGATATAAAACAACTCCTATCTCTTCTATTTACTCTTTTAAATGTGGCGTAAAGAATGACTTGTTTCTTTAACTGAATTGCACAAATGGATAAATAAGTAAATATTATTCAAAATACCATAGAAGTCGTTGTTTCTCTAGCTATATTACGACATTTACATATCAAACAGATAGTTTAAATATTGCTGACTGTGGCTGTAAGCAGCATTCACGCTTATTTACATTTTTCCGGAGACGAGACCGAATGACAAGTATGACGAATGATCAGTGTTATTCCCGAGGTGTAGCAAGTGGGAAAGTTTGATTACTAAATTATTAAATTACCATGGAGTAATATTTTTACAAACTATAGAAAATGTACACGTGATATCAAGCTAATGGATTTCCAGTTCAGGTTTATTCATAAGATTATATGTATACCAAAAGAGAATTAGTGAAAATGAAATGAGTAGATAGAAATATTCGTACATTTTGCAAAACAGAGCCTGAAGATATTGTCCATGTTTATATTTCTTGTGAATATGTACAGACGTTTTGGAATGAATTAGGACTGTTTCTTAAACACATTCTTAACATTGAATTGGTATTCACAAATTTCACAATCCTGCTGGGACTTAATACTGGCCATAATTTTATCAACAACATTATACTTGTTTAAGTGGCATTTTAGAAGTTGAGGCGTACAACAAACATTATACCTGCTGGTAAAAGATGTATATTTACTAATAGCATTAATGCTAAACTTTTACATATCTCAGAATTCATGAAGATACTACGGGATATTGTATTAGTCGAAAGATACATAGCCAGGAAAAACAACAGGATTGCCAAATTTTACATAAAATGGCCATTGAGTAATTGTACACTTAGAGAACCTATAGTAGATCACTGTCATGCAACATGTATCTTCTGTGTTGTATTGTATTGTAAGTGCTGTAGTATCAATTTTCACTCCTACCTGAAATGCACACCAGTCTGAAATGAATGACAAAAAAAGAAAAAAACACCCCCCAAAACAAATCACCAGAAACAGCCTAGTGTCAAGCATAAACACCGAAGCGTCTGTAAAATATGTATAGTATGACCAGAAATTATTGAGAATTTTAGGAATATGTTTAATTGGATTTCTAGTATAAACAACCTTGACCAGCTATCAAGTGTTTGTTTTCATTCAAGAGAGACAACTCCGTTAACCCTTTTTCATAGTTTGTGAAGAGTTATCCCCCTTTGTTCACTTGCTAGCAGACGACATTTTCAGTGATCCTCAGTATGGATGATTTAGAGAAGAGGAAGTTGATTTTAGAGTATTATAACAAGGACACCAGATCAGCTAAAGTGATTTCAATTAGAACAGGCATCCCTTTGTCCACTGTTTATCGTGTTTTGAAAAATATTGCAAATGGATATGGCATTGAGCACCAGGGAGGCGCAGGTAGGCCCAGAAAATTGACTGTCGGTGACAGGAGGCGGCTTGGTATCCCTGTTTCGAAAAACAAACGAAGGAGTTAAGAAAACTTAAGGCTGGATATGATTGATAGACGAACTGTGGCTGTTTGTAAGGAGACAATTAGAACTGAGCTGCATGCAATGGGTTGGCAGAAAAGACGAGGAATTCCATCACCGATCATGAAACCTGAACAAAAGGAGCGAAGTTGAACTGGTGCTTACAGCATAGACATTGTAACTGGGACAATGTGATTTTCTCAGATGAAAGTTCTGTGTGGCTGTTTCCTTATACACTGAAATTCTGGACCAAACAAACTGAAAAACCTTTGTATCAGCGCCCAAAGTACAGTCCGAAATTTAACGTGTGGGGTGGCTATCTGTGTTAGGGGCAACGCCCCTCTGTGTATTTGAAGGGAATATGAACAGTGAGCGGTACACAGATATTCTCGAGGGACATTTACTTCCATCTGCTCACGTGTTCTATGGAAAGTTTAGGATTTTCCAGCAGGACAACGACCCAGAACATCGTTCAAAGCATTCACAGGCCTGGTTTTCGGACCCAAAATATGACATTATTAGAATGGCCAAGCTATAGCCCTGACCTAAATCCAATAGAAATTTTTTGGGGACTTATGAAGGAAAGTGTCAGTAAGAAAGATCTGACAAATATTGCTGAAATGAAAGAAGAGGTGGTCCGAT